CAATGAATGCAAGTTGTATGAAATCTAAGGAAGTAGTCCAACAACGTACTCTAACTGATAGAGGAGGGATAAAGAAGATCTTTATCTTATAAGATCCCCGCTAGGTAGCAATAGTGAAGGGAAAGTTCTAGGTTGTAAAAGTAAAAGACAGCAGGAAATACATTCCTCTGCCCCAAGTTCTAGGAAAAAGCTTCTAATAATCACTTAAATAAATGTGGATTAACTTCTATATGATAAGGTGAACAATGTCACAAACTGTCAGAAATGACTCAGAACTCAGCTCTTCTCAAGTTTTGCTTAGCTAACCCAGTTGTTCAGTTTGTTCTGTTCAGATTGAATGCCCTTAGGCAAAGTAGGCAATGATCAGTTCACTTCCATTCTTCTTACCCTCTCCTCCTTCCTCAACATGTAACATAAATGTGTTGTGTAGCTGGCCTCTGAAGGCACTGGAGTTTGAAACCAGCTGCCTCCTGACAAGTCACCCTGAAACAACCACATCAGGTACCAAGTGTGTCTTCAAGGTCATTATGAGCCAGATGATCGAGTGTCTCTCCTATCTTTCTCTCTCCCATCAATCTCCACCCTACCACCTCTTTTTACCAAGGATATCATTAATCACATAATTGGAGATAAATGGCAAAATTAAAGACAGCCTTGGAAAACTATGACTTAAGGCGCATATGCTCTTTATCGAAAATATAGAGGGACTAGGAGCCAAGACCTGGGCTCTAATCCCTGTATCCCAATATTTCACAGCATAACCTAGACACAATACTATCTCTCTGGAGTTGAATTACTTTCCTTTCTATAAAATAACATTTCAATTAGATAAATTTTAAATCTCTCTATAGCTATATAAATATATTTATGTTGAAATAAACTGGAAATTTTCAGCAAGTATAATTTGTTCTTGCTTTGGATGGGGTATAGGAAAGTGGGAAAATGTGCTAGGGAAATGGGCTGACATGGTAACTGAATGGGAAAAAGGAAAGAGACTAAAATGGGCCTCCCTCTGAGGAGGACAATGAAAACAAACTATACGGTTTTATTCATGGTTGACCCTACTTACCTTTCACTCAGTATGGGAAAACACAAACTATGGAGATGTTATTATTTCATACGATATAATGAAAATATTCTATTTCACATCATCACTGCTTCACATGATTTGTTACCTTTTTTTTTTTTCACCTTTTATTTTTAAATATGGCCAACTTTGCCATAATGGAACTTTGTCCTCAGCTTACACATTGATGCATCACTGTACTTTCTAAAGATTCTTAATCTTGGGACGCCTGGGTGGCTCAGTCGTTAAGCGACTGCCTTCGGCTCAGGTCATGATCTCAGGGTCCTGGGATTGAGCCCTGCATCGGGCTCCCTGGTCCTCAGGAAGCCTGCTTCTTCCTCTCCTACTCCCCCTGCTTGTGTTCCCTCTTTCACTGTGTCTTTCTCTGTCAAATAAATAAATAAAATCTTTAAAAAAATAAAATAAAGATTCTTAATCTTAAATAAGATTTTCTTAAAGGAGATTTCAACCAGTGTGAATGGTAAAAGCAAGAGAAAAGAAGTCTACAAGTCAATAACAATAAGCAGTCCTCAAACAGCCAGAACCAAGGATGGATGTGAGGAAGGGGTGTTCTGTAAATCCCAGATGGCTTTTTTAAAAACAAAACAAGCAAAAGGCTAAAAGCAGGCTATAGAGGACTTCGCAAGCAAGGGTCAAGAGCATGAACCTTATCCTGTGAACAATGAAAAGCCTAAGAGATTTTTAAGAGTGATTTGATTAAAATCTGTGTTTTTGAAAGATAACGCAGATGGCAGAGTACATATACAATATTTACAAAATAGAGCATAAAAATTATGTAGGTTGATATTTTTCTACAAAAACATTAACATGAATTTAGAATAAAACACTCATTAAAACCATAAAATAAATATTACAAACACTAAAGTATTATTAAAGAAATTCATAGTGGGTTTTGTCTTGCAAATTCCTTAAGGGGGTAAATAATCACCTAAACTTTAAAATTTTTTTTTAAAAGCCTTCATACTACATGTGTATATCTTTTTCAAATAAAATTAACACTTTAAGTAATATTTATGGGCTTTAAGGCCACAGGATTTTTAAATATTTACCCAACCATTTAGAAAGCACCTAGCATTTAAGGTATAGAAAAATTTCTCACACACTAATTTACATCTTTCAAAGCCTCGTACTTACCTAGTCTATCACACACCAAAGAATCTGGTTGAAAAGCTGAAAACTACATTGTAGAATACACAAGTAAAATGGCATAGATATTTAGTTAGTTAAATTCTGGCTTCTATGTAGACAACTGATTTTTTTTTTCTTTTAGCTTCCTATTAGTTTCAGCTGACTGCTGGCAAATGTTGTACAAACTTAGCGCTTCTTTCCATTAACCCACCAGCACTAACTAGATTTAAACTTTAAATCTCTAAATGCTTTGTGAGTAACAACAAAAACTGTTCGCTAAGAACTGACACAGACACAGCATTTACATCAAATGCTACCAATCTAATTATGAAAATAAAGTATCTTACAAACATATGCCCTGATTTTTCAACATCATACCTAACATCCCAAAACTTAAAAATTATTTTAAATCTGCTCTGACACAATTAAAAATGTTTTTCAATTGTTTTTCAAAGACGTTCATAAAAACATTTAAGTACCTAAGGAAATGAAAGTATAATTACTTTGTTATCAATCCAAAAATGAATCCACATACACTCTTTAGAAGTTCTCTATTCAAAAAACAGAGTATTCATCTTTTCCAATTAAAAAAATAGCTTAGCAGTATCAACATTCAACATTTAAGTAAAAGTTCAAGAACTACTAATTTGTAATGTTTTAGTTACATTTTTATTTATAACTTACTAAAAGAAATGGATTCTAGAATTGGAAGTTATTACAGAATTAATGTACGGGGATCCCCTAATTGACAGGATCCTGAGACTCAGAAAAATTCATTCACTGACTCTTCCAGGATTACACAGCAGAGCCAAGATTTTACCCTTGACCCTCTGCCGATGAATTCAGGACATTTCCCCCTGTATCAAGTTCTACCCAAAATCTTTTTTGTCTTCCTTCACTTCTGAAACAAAAAGGTGGCTTCACAATTGTCATATACAAAGTTCAGCACTAAAATTAGAAAATCTATCTTTTACTTCCATAAAAGTACTGCCCTTTTTAAAAGTGAAATTGTATTTTCCTCTAATACAAGTAATAAATGAAGCCACCTAGCAATAACAACAACACTGTACCTAGCTGAAGGCTGAAAAGGGTTGCTGCTTTGGAAAGGGCATCAGACTAGGATTAAGACAACCAGGAATTTTCGATTTACAAGACAACAGCCACAATTGACTACGCCAACAGATTACAATTAAAATACATTAAAGTGGAATATTGTTAAGTACAGGAAATTTGTCTACAAATGTGATGAGATTGCTAAAACACTCTTCCGGTGTTAAAAAATACAATCTATTCACATATAGTCAAACCAAATGCCATTCAGGCTATGAAAAGGGCTGGTATTACGCTCACTGCTCTGCGGTAAATCTTCTCACAAGTTTTTCTCCTGACACACATTTTTCTAAGCATTGTCTAGTATCACTGGCTGTAAACTAAGAAAGCAAAAGGCGTAACATTTTTTGAACAATTCTTTCTAGCATGTGGCCAAATAACTACAGACCACAAAAGCGGCTTCTGAGAGCACGTTTCAAGAAGTGTGGTCTCACTGGAACACTGCAGATCAGTATTAAACATAAAATCAATGTAGTAGCTTGACGATTATTAAGAAAAGAGAGCATCAGATGTAGCAAGAACAAGAAACGTTTGTGTCAAATACACTGCGTTACAGTATAAAACATATCACCAATCAAAAAGTCTGAAAACCAATGGGATAGACTCCTACTCTCCTACTTAAAACCTCTACACACATCCTTTTAGTTGCTTAAAAAACAGCATTGAAAACTTGAAAGGTCTAGGTTCAAATCCCTACACTGCCACTTACTGGATGTGTGAACTGGGTAGGCTCTATAAGCCTCAATTTACTCAGCTCTAAATTGAGATTGTCATCTACCACACAGGGTTTTTGTGAGCATTTGGGACAATATATGTAATATTTCGCACCTAGCACATGCTCAATGAATAACAACTATATTCGCTGATTTCCTGGTGATGTAGAACAAGATTTCTCTAAACCACATAAAGAGAAACTCTTCCCTGAGGATGATTTCAATTCCTTTAAAAAACAAAAACATGTAAACCTACAGGAAAAAAAAATGGAAATGCTTTTGGCATCTTTCCAAACATTACTAAGTTTAAAGGTTAAATTGTTACAACATTCTCCTAATTATGCAACAAATACACACGACCATGAGTTAGTCTGTAAAAGATTATAATGGCCTATATTACTGAAATGGGGGAGGGGGAAGAACCCTTAACAATTATTCCCAACAATCTTTTCATCTACACGAAGCCTCAGTTCCAAAGCTCATCGCTGTTCATTATATATCAAATTCTTCCTCTCGATTATCAAGAATGAAACGGCACTGATTAAAATTTATATATGTATTCAATCTAATGCCTGTATGTTACCACTGGGGAGACACCACCATTGTAACAGCAACAACTAGCATCAAAAAGACCTACATCAGTGTATACCAAAGTGGCAGTCGTCGATCTATTAAACCGCAAATAATTCACTTCATTCCTGAGAACTCATCCATCGCATGAGCAAAGTCTTTAAAAAGTGCAATATGATCAGTCTCCTCTTTCATTTCCATTCCAAGATAAAAGGTACCTCTGGCGTGTTTAAAAAGCCTCCCGTAATTTAGGAATTCTTTCCAGAACAAACCTTTTTTTTTTTTCCCACCCTGGAAGTGAACATGCTTTCAAGTACGCTAATTCAGGTTGGGAACTGAAGCGATAAAACCGCGCTCACTTCCTTACCAAGCCGTTCTCTCTGGTAACATACCTGTTCTCGGGAAATGCAAGGCAACGAAGGTCTCCTGAACATCTTGCAACTGCCGGAGTAACCGGCCGAAGTTTCTCCGAACGACACGCAGCTGGACCTCCTGCGGGGTCTGATCACAGGCACCTTGTCCTCGGAGGCACTGGCCAAGCGAGGATGGTGAGGGGCTTCCCTGATCTGAAAGAAGTGATCCAAGCCCAGGGCTAGCAGGCAGCCGGCGTCCCCGACCAGGCAGGAGAGCAGCGGCCTGAGGGCTGCGGGCAGCGACCCGAGGCCGGTGAAGGAGACCCACCAAACGAAGCTGGAGAAGAGCAGCACCAGGATGCTGTGCCGGAGCCTCGCCGGGTGCGCGAGCGTCAGCAAGCCCACGCAGCTCAGCACCAAGAACAACCTGCCCGCCACCGCCGGGGGCGTGTGCGGGGCCGCGGCGAGGGCCCCCGCGTCTCCGGACCCCCAAGCCCAAGCCCATGCCTGCCACACCAAGAAGTCCACCAGGTAACAGCAGGCTGGCAGCGCCAGCAGCCACCAGGAGCCGCCGTCGCTCCGGCCCGGCCCGGGGCCCCGCTTGCTCCGGGTCAAGAAGCAGGTGAGGAAGAAAAAGGCACAGGCGATGCTGAACAGGGGGCTGAGGCTGTGGGAGCAAACGCTCAGCAGGGTCCGCAGCCGGGCAGCCCTGGCAGCCCAACTCCCGGGCCCCGAGCCGAGCAGCAGGGCGAGGACAAAGGCGGCCAGGGCGCCCAGCGAGAGGCGCGCCCGGGAGGAGGGGGAGCCGCGGCGCGGCTGCTGGGGGGAGGCCGGCGGCGGCAGTAGCAGCTCCACGTTGCAGAAGCGGCAGAGGTGGAAGAAGAAGCCGCGCGGAGGGTCCTGCCGCAGGGGGCTCACGCAGCTCTTCACGTAGCCGTTCCTCAGACTCTCGGGGGGCGAGGCGGCCCCGTCCGGCGGCTGCGGGCACCGCATGGCTTTGGCGTCTCGCTCGTCCCTCCTCACGGCCCGGACCGCGGCGGCCGCTCGCGCTCCCTCAGCCCCCGCCCCCGCGCTCTAGGCGCCCCCCGGCTCGGCTGCGCGTCAGGGTTGCGCCCGCCGCCGCGGCCCGGGGTCCCCGCCGCGCGGGCGGAGGAGCGGCAGGGTCCGGGACATGCTGGCAGAGGAGAGCGGCGGAAGGGACTGCTCTCGGGACCGCCGCGGCCGCCCCCTCCGTGTCCCTCGGGCACTTCTCGGGAGTGGAGACTCGGCGTCGCCGCCCAGCTCCCGCGGGCTGCAACAGTTAGCTCCCGGCCCCAGCCTGATCCGTTGGGCGCGCGAGCGGCGGCGGGCGGGCGGGCGCTCCTCCCCCGTGCCTGCCCCGGGCGG